CCCGAGGTGCGTGCCCATGGCACGTCCCCTGGCCCGTCGCCTGGCGCGTCCCTTGGGACGTTCCGCGGAGCGTCCTCCTGGCATGTCCCCCTGTCGATTAGTTCTGGGGCAGCTAACATCTGCTCAGGCAGCTCGAGCTTAAGATCCAAAGCAGTTCGGAAAGGACTCGGATGCCAGGGAGGACTCGATCCACAACGCTATAAAGAGCACAATCACGGCATGACACATCGCAGTTCAGCACGGCGTAGCGCAGCACAGCCCTCTGCACAGTGCATTAAGATCGATACATTCAGTATTTATTGCATTTGCCCGTCGCTCAGTCAGGTGTCTTTGAAACGTTGCCATGCCTTACATGTCTACATTCCTTTCCACGTTCGTGGGTCGGTCATGTTGACGGCCCTGAGGCCCAGCGAGGGCCCCCTGGGGCCGAAACCCACCCCAAGACCGGACGGCCTGATGTTTGGTACGACGCGATCATGTCTGGGATGGGGGCTCCGAAGGGCCCCTTCTCTGCAGCCCCCACTGGCCCCCCTGTCGTCGCCCCCCGATTGTTTGAAGGGGCCCTGAGACACACAAATAAATACACACAAATAAAAATATTGCCCATAGTTTCCCATATTTTCTGGGTTTTTGTCCCCCCCCCCACTTCCCATATTTTCCTGTATTTTCCTGGGGCTCGACGATTAATTGTGTCTGTGTGTTTCTTTCCCTCCTGATTGTTGCGCGACGCCCGATGTTCTTTCTATCTGCGGCCTCCGATGGGGCCACTCCTCAGCCGTGGGGAAACGTCAACAAAAACTACGAGAGAGACATCTTCGAGAAGGAGGAGGAGGAGGAGGAGGAGGAGGAGGAGGAGGAGGAGGAGGAGGGGGGGCAGGAGGAGGAGAAGGAGGAGGAGGCGCAGGAGGAGGAGGCGCAGGACGAACCACTGAGCATCGTTTCGCCGACCCCCCCACAGCCCCACCAGGCGTGGGCTGGGCCCCCCTGGCCGATTGAGCCCCCTGGATGGGGACCTTGGCTGCTCTCTGCGAGTCTCGAGGGGCGTATCCCCAGCTGAGGTGGTGAGACGGTGGGGCCTCGAGATGTGGATGGGGATGGGGAGGAGGAGGAGGAGGAGGAGGAGGAGGAGGAGGAGGAGGAGGAGGAGGAGGAGGAGGAGGAGGAGGAGGCGGAGGAGGAGGAGGAGGAGGAGGAGGAGGAGGAGGAGGAGGCTCGGCGCAAGCGCCCGTCGCCGGATGGGGATCGGTGAAACGGTACTGAAAAACTGGTCCAGGTGAACGGATCGGGACCTCTGGGAGTCGACGCCGTGAACAAAAAAAGCTGGAGGTGAGAGGTCTGGGTCCCTTGGCCAGTCGACCCAGGCTGGCCTGAGCCAAGTTGGCTACGGGGAGGATGCCGACAGTGATGGCGGTGGCGGTGATGGTGATGGTGGTGGCGGCGACGTCGACGGCGATGACCATGACGACGGCGAAGCTGACGACGCCGCCGCCGACGCCAACGGGGCTGCTGCCGCCGACAGGGAGCAGGCCGACAGGTTGCAGCGAGAGCGAGAGCGAGAGGAGACAAGTGCATCCGCGGCGTGCGAGGAAGGGAGGGGGAGGTAGAGTGGGAAAAAAGAGAGGGGGACGGGCAAGCAAGCAAGCAAGCAAGCAAAACAGCCAGGCACCCAAACAGGGCCTGGGCAGTATAACTGTTCGATCTACACATGCGGCAATGCAAAACTAGTCATCAAACATACGAACAATGCACGCCGCCAACTGTAGTTTCGGGCGTCCGCGTTTGCGCGTGCGTTATCACTGCCTTGGTGTGTCCCCTAGCTTAGAAAACATGGAGTCCACAATGAACACGCAATAAGTAGCACTCTGGAGAGTGTGATGTAACCTTGGAATTCCGGAGCACTTGTTGTGAAGACCATTGAAAATCGTCTGATAGCTGATGCAGAGCAACTCGCCGATAAATGCCGCCTGGTGCGCGATTCGTACCCAATGGACAGTTCGCATGTAGAAGCTAGGCGGCAGCAGCTTGTACACTGAATGCTAGCAGCGCGGAGGTAGTTGCCTTGGGTGGCATGTGTAGCCCAATACCAACCACGCTTCAAGTGACTAGGAGCAAAAAGGGAGTAGCTCGCATAAGGTGACTACAATGTAAAATCACAACGAGTGGGACAGTAGGCACCAGCAGGCATCGCATAACTACCATACTATAGCTAGTAGCGTGTAGCTCGCGGCATAATCCCAAGAGCCTGTTAGGCGTACATGGTTTAGGGCGCGTCCTCCTTCCGTTATGTCCCAGCGGGGAGGGGAGTATCACTGCTCCTCTTTGATATACACCCCCTCCCCCACCCGACCAGCGACAAACCATGGACAATGCCGCCCACACCCCCGCAATCCCTGTTAGAACATGCACGCTGCACGTTGCGGCTAAATCTTTGGTCGTCATGTCTGGGGGAGGGCGCGAGCACGGTGCATTCTTTTTTGACAGGGGCGGCGGGGGTGCCAGCACATGGCCTGCTGCAAGCAGGGATATCACCCCTGTCAAAAAAAAACATACACTCTGCACTTCGCGGCTAAATCTGGATTATGCGCGGGCACACCACGATGAAGGGGCCCTGGGACACACAAATAGATACACACAAATAAAAGGATACCCCATAGTTTCCCATATGTTCTGGGTTCTTGTCTTCCCCGCCACTTCCCATATTTTCCCCTATTTTCCTGGGAGTCGACGGTTACTTGTGTCTGTGTGTTTCTTCCCCTCCTGAGCCACGATCACTTCACATTGGCTTTGGGCAGGGACAGCGGGCGGGGCTGGCAGATTGCCTGCTGTGCGCAACTCCCCAGACACCATGATGGCCACTCCGCCGCGATTGTGCATTGGCTCTCGACAGAGACGGTGGAGGCCGACGTGGCGCACCTCGTCCCAGCGTCGCGCACCTGGGGTCTATGTTGGTTCCCAGTAGCTGCCCATCCAAAGACGACTGCTGAATATGCTGAGACTCGCTTGCTACGTACCTATGTGTTGGGCGGGCGGGGTGGGAGTGAGCCACGCAGCTTGCGTCTGGGAGAAGTGTCTTGGTCACTGCTCCTTATTCATCGGCACCCCCTCCCCCACCCGACCGGCGACAAGCCCAGGACCATGACAACAACCCCCCGCCACCCTTGTCAAAAACGTTCCAAAGAGCATTTTGCGACTGAATCTGGATCATGCGCGGACGCCCCGCGATCAGTCGCATTGGTGCTTGAAAGGGACGGCGGGGGTGCCGGCATAGTGCCTGCTGTGTGCAATGCTACTAGCCACCATCTCTTGCCAACAACAATATAAAGTACACTTTGCAACATAATCTGGATCATGCGCGGGCGCCTCGCGGTCACTTTGAGGTGGTTTCTGGCAGGGACGGCGGGGGTGCTGGCATGTTGCCTGCTGCGTGCAATGCCAACACCACCAAACCATCCCATGCAACAAACAATATTGCGTACTTTGCACCAAAATCTGGATCATGCGCAAACGCCCCGCGATCACTTCGCATTGGTTGTGGACAGGGACCGTGGGGGGGCCGGCATAAAACACAAAGTTCACTGTGCCAGCATACTGGCTGCTGTGTGAACGCCTACGTTCCCTGTCAAAGAAACGAGTGCAAAGTGATTGTGGGTGCACACCCAAACACAACAGTACACAATGCTCGCAAAGCCACCATCATGTAGCTTCGTTTGACATGGATTGTGGGGCGGTCGACATTTGCCCAATGTGGCGCGCCTGGCGCGCGTGGCGCACCTGGCACGTGCAGCGCACCTCGCGGGCATCGCGCACCTGGCTGGGGTCTGCATTGATGCCCGATGGTGGTCGATCACGACCCCTGCCTGTGCTGAGACTCGGGGGCTACTTCTGCAGTGGGGTGAGCGTCACGGCTTGCGGCTTGGGGTACTCCAGATTTCGTAATCAAGGGAGGGGGGTCTCATTTCGGGGGGGGGCTCTTCCAGGCTATCTTGGAGGGCCTGGGGGGTCTGGGGACGATGTTTTGGAGGATTCTCCCACGGGGGAGGTCTGAAATGGCCTGTCTTGGAGGGTCCAGACCCCCTCCCTTTTATTACGAAATCTGGAGTAGCTTGACCCCTCCTCGCACCCTCTGCTCCCTGGTTCCTCACCCACGGGCGGGCAAGGAGCGATCAGAGTGTCCAGGGAGGCAGCGGCGAGAGGGCACACATCACGGAGCTTCCATTCGTGCGGGGTCTCCTTTGGCATCCTGGGGGGGGCGGGCAGAGGCGCTCATTGAGAACCCCCCCCCTTCATTCATCGATTGCATCCAACGTGGCCCCGAGACGGCCCGAAATGTTTCCAAGAGAACCCCACAGAATGTCCCGAGTGAGCCCAAGAGAGCCCCCAGGAGGCCCCCAAGAGGCCTCCGAGCGTCCCCCAAGCGGCATCCAAGAGGCACCCAAGACGCCCCACGAGGCTCTGACGACCGCCAACAAGCCCCCAAACGGCCCAAGAGACCTCCAAGAGGCCCCCAGGCGCCGAAAAAGAAGCCCCGAAGAGCCGCCAGGAGGCCCCAGGAGTCCTCAAGTCTCAAAGAGACCCCGAGAAACATCCCAAGAGACTCCGAAGGGGGGGGGAAGGAATTTAGAAGGCAGAGGGATGGGGATGAGGAGAGAGGAGGAGGGGGGAGGAGGAGGAGGAAAAGGAAGAGGAGGAGGAGGAGGTGAAAAAGAAGAAGGGAGAATAGAAGAGGAGGAGGAGGAGACAAAACGGGAGGAAAAGGAGGAGGTGGGGTAGGAGCAGGGGGAGAGAGGAAGAGAAGGAGGAAGAGAGGAAAGGGAAGAAGGAGGAAGCGAAGAGGAGGAGGAGGAGGAGGAGGAGGAGGAGGAGGAGGAAGAGGAGCAGGAGGAGGAGGAGGAGGAGGAGGAGGAGGAGGAACAGGGCGAGGAGGAGGAAGAAGACGGCCGACGACCGACGGCCGACGGCCGACGGCCGACGACGCCGCGGCGGACGCGCGCCGAGCCACTCGCCGGCGCTGCCGCGGGAGCGTCGCCCTTCGCGGCGGCGTCGGCTGCTCCGGCGCCTGGGGCCACGGCAGCGGGTCAGGGGGCGAGCAGGAAAACCATCTTCCCTCCTCTTCATCCTCCTCCTTCTCCTCATCCTCCTCCTCCTCCTCCTCGTCCTCCTCGTCCTCCGCGTTCTCCTCCTTTGCCTCTCCCTCGTCCATCGCCCCTTCCTCCACCGTTTCCTGCTCCGCCTCTTTTGATGAATCCTCTTGTTCATCCTCTGTTTCCTCCTTCTCCGCCTCGTCCTCCTCTGCTTCCTCGAGGTGGATGCCGAAAGCCAGACATGCTGGGGTTGTGGTTAATGCTGTTGTGATTTTCGACAATGACACCCACATGCTTGGGGTTCCTCATACAAGCTTCCAAGTCAGGCTACTTGGCGTCATCTGCTGAAGCGGCGAAGCCCGTGAAGGCGAGAGCCTGCAAGCTCAAGCTCAAGTCGTTTAAGAGTGCTCGTCTTTTACGCCAGCACACGCTTGTTGGAGGAGTTGAGCGTCGGACCATTGAGCGTAAGCATCTTGGGGTCGCCCGTGGCAGAATTGGTAGAAGGGGTAAGGCTCAAGGCCCTCGGGAGGGCCAGTGCTTCAGGTGCGAGCTTTGTGGCGCACTGGGGTCCTTCCGTCCGCGGGCCACTGGCTTCGCTCACTGTCTACGCGTGCACGCAGAAAGACATCATGCACGACCCCACGTTTGAAGCCACGCGCCCGCTGGTCGCCAGATATGCGTGCTGGTCTGGGATGCGAAGACCTCCCCCAGTTTGCTCAGGGCTGCGTGGAGCGTGATCATGGAGCGACTGGGCCCACAGGGTACTTGGAGGAAGTGTTTCGGTCCGATCTCGGCTGTCATTTTGTCTTTGCGCAGAATCGGATGGAACATGGTCACACCGCACACGCTCAGCACTGACACTGGCGAGCAAGTTGCTCGGTTTGGGTATTCCCCACACGAGGTGAGACACCTTGTGAGGGACGGAGTCGAGCTATGGCTGTGGCGTGGGCCACTTGGGCCTTGGGTGGAACTCCCTAGGTGGCCGCGAAACGTGTGAGGGGTGTGCCGAAAATGGTGTGGCGGGCGCATGCGGACGGTGCTACTGGGGCCTTCGGTGGAGCTACCAGTGGAGCCACGAAACGTGTGAGGGGTGTGCCGAATTGGGTGTGGCGGACGCATGCGGACGGTGCAACTGGAGTCTTGGGTTGAGCTCCCTGTGGGGCCACAAAGCGTGTGAGGGGTGTGCCGAAGTGGGTGTGGCGGACGCATGTGGACGGTGCCACTATAACCTTCGGTTGAGCTCCCCAGGTGGCCCCGAAACGTGTGAGGGGTGTGCCGAAATGGGTGTGGCGGGCGCGTGTGGACGGTGCTACTGGGGCCTTCGGTGGAAATCCCTATAGGACCACGAAACGAATGAGGGGTGTGCCGTAATGGGTGTGGCGGGCGCATGTGGGACGGTGCCACTGGAGCCTTGGGTGTGGCTCCCTATGGGGCCACAAAGCGTGTGAGGGGTGTGCCGAAATGGGTGTGGCGGACGCATGCGGACGGTGCCACTGGAGTCTTGGGTGGAGCTACCAGTGGAGCCACGAAACGTGTGAGGGGTGTGCCGAAGTGGGTGTGGCGGACGCATGCGGACGGTGCCATTGGGGCTTTCGATGGAGCTCCCTATACGACCACGAAACGTGTAAGGGGTGTGCCGAAATGGGTGTGGCGGACGCATGTGGACGGTGCCATTGGGGCCTTCGGTGGGGCTCCCTATGGGGCTACAAAGCGTGTGAGGGGTGTGCCGAAGTGGGTGTGGCGGACGCGTGTGGACGGTGCCACTGAGGTATTCGGTGGAGCTCCCTACGGGGCTACAACGTGTGTGAGGGGCGTGCCGAAATGGCTGTGGCGGACGCATGTGGACGGTGCCATTGGGGCCTTCGGTGGAGCTCCCTATGGGGCCACGAAGCGTATGAGGGGTGCGCCGAAATGGATGGGCATGCGGAGAGCAGAATATGGGATTGGAGGAGGAAGGAGGGGGCGGAGGAGGCGAGGAGGAACGCGGGGCGCTGTCTCCTCAAAACGAAGGCCAAACACCACACGATGCTTGGTAATGGGCGCGATGTTTCGCACGGGTTCGCCTGGCAGCCTTTACTACCCCAGAACATTGCATGGATTGGTTGGTCTGCTTTTAGTGTATGTGCTGTTTTGGGTTGTTCAATTACTTGAAGGCATGGGGGGAACAAACGAAGCGGAGCAGGAGGAGCTGTGCTTGCCCAAAGGAGGACGACGAGGAGGAAGAGGAGTGGAGAAAAGGAATGGGGCAACGCGAGCGGTTCCTTTCCAAGCCCGTCGAGGGCAACAAGCGTCCCACCTCCATCCACTATGGAGCTGGGAGGAGCAAGAGGAGGAGAAGAAAAAAAAGAAGAACAAGAATAATAATAAGAAGAAACATACGAATGATAATAAGAACAACGATAATAGTAATAATAATAATAATAACAACAGTAATAATAGTAATAACAATAATAAAAATAAGAAGAAGAAGAAGAAGAAGACGAAGAAGAATGATAAGAATAATGAGGCGAAACGAGGAGGCGGGGGAGAAGAAGAAGAAGCGAGGGGGAGGAGGAACAGGAGGATCAGGGAAGCGGAGAAGCGATGACGGCGAGGAGTGAGGAAGGAGGGCGGGAGGGAGGAGGAGGGAGGAGGATGAGGAGGAGGAGGGGGAGGATGAGGAGGAGGGAATGGGAAAAAAGGATGGGGGGAGGAGTGGGGCGGCGGAGAGGAGGAGGAGGGAGGGGGGAGGAGGAGAAGGAGGAGGAGAAGGAGGACAAGGAGGAGGAAGAGGAGGAGGAGGGGAAGAAGACGAAGAAAAAACGAAGAAGAACAAGAATAATAATAATAATAATAAGAAGAAGAAGAAGAAGAAGAAGAATAAGAAGACGAATAAGAAGAAGAAGCGAGGATGAGGATGAGAAGAAGCGAGGAGGAGGAGGAGGAGGAGGAGGATGAGGAGGGGGAGGGAGGAGGAGCAGGACGAGGAGGAGGGGGGGAGGAAGGAGGGAGGAGGGAGAGGAAGGGAGGAGGAAGGGGGGAAGAGGGATGGGGAGGGAGAGGAAGGGGGGAAGGGAGGGAGGGAGGGATGGGGGGGGGGAGGAGGGAGAAGGGATGGAGGGATGGAGGGAGGGAGGGGGAGGGAGGGATTTTTTGGATTGCGCTGCTGATGAAGCGTATGGCCTGTCAGCTAATGGCGGCGCTGCAGCTAGCAGAGGCAGTCAGCACAGTCAACTCGTGTGGCTGTGCTAAGAGGCGAAACTCGCAAACTCTGCACGGGCACCTGAAGTCAAGTCAGACAGTAACTTCCTCCAACCAACCTGCCTAACCCCACGAATCTCACCCAGTCCCATAGTATTAACTACGCGCGCAACTGGGTGCGAGGCAGCCATGTGGACGCAGAGCGTCTGGCTCTAGGCGGCAAAGGATTGAAATTTTTAGCCGTGGCCAGGACGTGGCGGCGGACAGGGTGGGCTATCCTGCACGGCTGCTCTCGGCGTATCCCTGGCAGCGCCAGAACATCACGCTTCACAGAGATGTACTCGCTGACTTAACCCCTCCACAAAGCTACCAGCCACTCCCACTCCCATCCTTATCTGCAAGAGGGTGTGTGGTTAGCGACGGACTACGCTCACCGAGCCCTCTGCCGCTGCCCCCCACGGGCCAAGGCTTGAAGCTTGACAGTCGGGCGGTGACAGAAACGCGAGGGGGCGCACCTCTGTCCAGGTTGACGGTGGAGAGAGAGCAGGCGAGCGGGTGGCAAGCAGGCGGCGGCGGAAAGAAGCAAGAGAGGCAGGCACATGCCTCTCTGATCTCAGCACGTCCACCCAACCTGACAAACCCAACCCCCTCCCGAATACATGTTGCGATCCCTCGACCGCTGTCAGCTCTCAAAACAGCTGGTCTCAACGACTTTGCCTCGGCGATCGCCGCTGTGGGGTGGGGCTTCGCGAGTTCCTTTCGGAGCGCCCACTATGGCCAGCCCCCTTCACGGTTCGATCCTAGGTTCGGCCGACCAGGCTGACACTCGAGCTGGCGACAGTTGCGCGCGTCAACTGCTTTCAGTGAAACCTGTTACGCACCGTCTGAAATTTAGTCTCAGAGAGAGAGCGGGCAAGAGGGCGGGACAGCACATGCAGGCAGGCCGTGCACAAGAGAGAGCAAGAGAGGCGGGCTGCCGCTCTCTCTGACTGTTGCTGCACTGCCTCGCTGCTAATGCCTCCAACTGCCCGACCTACCAATCCCAGCCCTCCCCCGACTACACGATGCGGTCTTCACGACCGCTGTGGCTCTCAAAGCCGCTGAACTCAACGACTTTACCTCGGCGAGAGCCGCTGTGGGGCGGGGGGGGCTTCGCGAGTTCCTTTCGGAGCGCCCACTATGGACTCCTCCCCTCACGGATCGACCCTCGGTTCGGCCGACAAGGCTGACGCTCGAGATGGCAACCGTTGCGCAATACGACTGCTGCCATTATCTGAAAAATCTGGTTTCAGAGGGAGAGAGGGCAGGAGGGCGGGCCGGCACTGCAGGCAGGCCGAAGCGATGAAAGAGCAAAAGAGGCGGGCTGCCGCTCTCTCCGCTTGCTGTTACCCTGCCCCGCTGCTAACACCTCGACCAATCCCCCAACGTTCCCTCCATACTACAAAAATCACCTGAAACTGCGGCCATCGGATACCCCTGGAAACTGAAGGTGGCCGACAGACACACATCCATGGTCCAAGAGGGGCTGTCTGCAGCAAAACTGATCCACGTGAAAGTCAGGCCTGCTGCGGCGCAACTCTGGAGGTCAGACGGCTATGGAATGCAAGCTTATTCAGCGGACGTGATTCCAGCTCAGCTCGAAACTGGCGGACGAGCTGGGGGTTATCTGCATGCCACCACGGGGCTAGCCAAACGAGGAGGGCACGCATTAACCATAGCACCAGCCACAAGGCAGGGTCTTAGCAAAGCTCGAAACACTGGCAACATAGGCGGAGAGATCAGAGCACGTCCACAC